TTAGGGTTAGGTTAAGGGTTAGGTTTAGGGTTACGTTTAGCGTTACATTTAGGGTTAGGGTTACGTTTAGCGTTACATTTAGGGTTAGGTTTACAGCGCGCTTCTGTCGCCGCGCTGATGTCGGCGCGATTCAGCGCTCATTCGTCGGAGCGCTTTAGAACACGCGGTTTTGTCACCGTGGTTTAGTCGTTCGCGGTTTTGTCGTTCGCCCTTTTGTCGGTGAACCATGCCAATGCTAATAGTTAGCATCAGTAGATTTACAAATTAACCCTACCAAATATGCATGTAATATTACATTTAATTTTTATACACTCATGGATTAGAGTAGCTGTTTAGAGATCTCAGAAATATACATGGGTTTTTGAAGTGACTGGATTAACAATGAATAACTAATGAGGCATAATAATAGTATTATATCAATCTTCTTAGCTTAATATTCTTCCTTGTGTGACCAAGAATTTTGTTTTAAATTTAGGGCTGCTGCAGTAGACAAAGCATTATGTAATTCAGAATCATAAGCTATTTTCTAGTTGTAGAAAGTTATCACCCAATCCTCTCCCAGAAAAATGTAACATGGTTCACTCATCCGTGGAGAAGAATTTCTCCAACTTTTCTGATGTGTGAAGTTAAAATTGGTTACTTGGATTTGGCTGTAAGACTCAAGCATGAAACATAGCATATATTACTATCTCTCAACCTATGCCTCAATGTGTTAATATGATAGTAAAATAAACCTAATAGAAAAAGGTTATATATCTGGTCTGCAAAAAATCAGATGAGGGCAGTAAACAGAGGGTGAAAAAATGAACTATTTCCTTTCCTCTGTGTCCAGTTTTGCACCACCTAGTAATCTAGTACAGGCTAGCTAGAGCATCTCCCAGCAATGTTGTTCAGTGACCTACTGGGATATATCCTTACGTCCTGCTAATCATGGCTTGAAGATACCTAACTGGTTTAAGAGGACATGGGGTCATGATCAGCTTTTGTCTCAGTCACAACTGATCAGAGAAGAAACGGTTATTTTCTTTTTTGCGGATTGCCCTGCAGTTTTGTTTTGTTTTTCAGCTCTAAAAAGGTGTAGCAAATACAAAGCGGCTGTCTTCATTTCAATGGCTGCTGATTATTTAAAACCCAGGACGCAATCCTAGCGTTAGCAAGCAGATGACACGGGCAGATTTCACACGAGGCACCGGGCTAAAATGCGCCCAGCTGGACTGTGGCATGATGCGCGTTGCGAACATACAAACTGACAAAAACGTATAAAATCTTTTAATTTTTTTTATCTTTTAAGTTTTAAAAGAAAAATAGCACAGGATTTCTTCTTTTTCTTCCTGCCGCTGCGTGCTCTTCTAACGAAGCCCCGTAATTACTCTACCTTGGTAGCCTAAATTTAACACTATTCCCTTTCACCAAGCAATAATAGCGCGAATAGCTACTTTAATATATATATTCTACTCTAATCTCGCGGGATTCTAGCTTTAAGAATTGACGCGAGAGTTTAAACTGCCTTTGGGTGCGCCGCTGAAAGGGGGGAAGTCTTTTGTGCGCCGGCTCTCCTTCCCCGCATATTATTTATGCTTTGCACAAAATCATTTGCAGGCAAGGAGAGCCAGACAAAGAACGCGCTTTTAAAAATACGCGGTATTTCGCCACCCGCCTAGCAAAGCTGGGCTGCAAAAATGCAAATGACCACGAAATGGCAGCAAATAGTTACGGCAAACCCTGAGCCATTTTCTGTTGCCACCCCGCGGTTGTCTGGACTTTGTCAGCTGGGCTCGGACCTGTGGCGAGGCGTCATGTGAGAACTGGGCGGAGCTCCGTGTTTCTTACAGCTGTTGGCCCTTGAAATAATCGAAGCAGGAAGCAAGAGCCGGGAGGCTGCCTTGAAAGTAGCATTCAGGGTACGAAAGGTAACGTTTGCCTTTCTACTAACCGCAAACAAAGAATTGCATTGACGGGTGGTGGTCTCTGTGGCTTAAGTTTTGTAAATTGTCAGCAAACAGAAAGGAGGGGAAGATTAAACAGTAGAGAGACAATGCAAAGTCGATTGTGGAATTATCCAAATATCAAAGCTTTTGGATAGGCTAGTTGGTCCCGACCTTGTGCTTTCCAAATGTGCTGGAGTGATACATACCAGCATTGTCCACAGAGCAAGCTGGCTAGGTATTCTGCACTTTAGTGGGTTATAAGGTTGAGGAGAGGCGGAATAAGTTCATCCTGCATTCAGTCACTAAAGTAGTTTTTCACCTACTTGCTTCTTTCCAGATTAGGTGTTTATAAGTCCATCATCTGACACGATTCAGCAGTGAGCTGATTAGATGGCAGGAAAAAGAAGCCCACATACAATTACTGTCAAATTCACATTAGATCATCCCATTTAAAAAAAAAAGTTTTGAATTGCTTGACTTCAAAACTAAACCATCGGCTAGGAATGCTTTTACTGATGATATCATTGCATGGTAGTGTAAACTGAAAACACCATAGCTATTTTCAAATATCATAACATAGTGTGCTTTTGAGTCTTGTTAGAAAACCCAACCCTCTTTCCCTGAAAATTTATTTACAGAGCTATGTTGAGAGGGAGAATGAAAACTCAGAGTAAAGACTTAACAAGACTGCTTTTGTGTAAAAATCACAGAAATACCGTTCATCCCTAAGCCTTGTATCTGCATGTTCTCTGCAATGGCATATTTGCTACAACATTTGAAAGGGCAATCTCTGTGTTTATTTTTGCAGTTCATTCTTGCTGTTTTGCTCAAGGAGCACACAAGCTGGGTTACAAGAAATAAAGCAAAAGCTTTGGGTTCTCGATATTATCCGAGTTTGGTTGTTTTCCTGTAAATGTTTTATTAGCAGAGTAGGTAACATCTTTGGTGCACTAATGCCAAAGTAAAAATCCATAGTACAGGTAGTGCTTGACTTATGATCTCAATTGATCCCCAAATTTCTGTTGCTAAGGGAAACATTTGTTAAGTGAATTTTGCCCCATTTTATGACCTTCCTTGCCGTAGTTGTTAAATGAATCAATGCAGTTGTTAAGTTGCTCATGTGGTTGTTAAGTGAATTTGGGTTCCCCATCGGGACAAATATGAGTCTATTGCCAAGCATCTGAATTTTGATCATTATGACCATGGTGATACCGCAACAGTTGTAAGTGTGAAAAACAGTCATAAGTCACTTTTTTCAATGCCAGTGTAACTTCGAAAGGTCACAAAGGACTACCTGTATCTCAAAAAAGCACTTCAATTTACTGCTACAACTAAGAAAAAGGCTGAAATCACCTGGCTGATAATCAGGATGTATTTCAACATACAGTAGGTATATAATGTGTTCCTGCTTATTACCCGTTGATAGTCAGTCTGCCACATTTAGCACCAATTGAAGCTTCCAGATGATGTTCAAGTGGTCACATTAAATCTCAATATATTAGTCAGATTAGGATGTTATCTTCAGTCAGGCCAATGTAGGGATAGTCAAAGCTGGAATACTAGATATCAGCCTTGTTGCCACATCCTGGGGATGTACCATCAGCTGAGGGTCAAGGAGTGTCTGACACTGTAAATCTATACTTCTGTTTTCCAGAATGCGATGAACATCAACTCCAGAATCTGGTTTTCTATTTACCAGTGCCATCACTGTCAACACGTAATAGTTCATATTATTGGAATTTTCAGCCACAGGCAAAGCTTACATATAAACAACTGAATATGGATGGGCATTGTTTTGCAATGATAAAACAATGTGTGAACTTCAGTGTAAAGCCACTAAATGCACCAAAATCGTGGCCCTGGTCCCATATCCCCCTCTCTAACGTGACATAGTCTAGGCTTCAAGATTAGTTTTGTATTGCTTTTGTAAGTGTTTTTTCTGGTGACGATCCATTCTTTACATAATATCTTTATTGATTTTATCTTATCTTATCTATCTCAACAAAGAACTTTGGCTGGTAGGGTCTAGAAGAGAACATTGTGCCCCCTCAAGGTGAAGTCTGCCCCTATCCTCTTGGCCTTCCAAAAGGGCCTGAATATCTGGCTCTGCCAACTGGTTTGAGTTCCCAATGGGAACTTATCTCACTTTGGCAGTGATGAATAGATTAGAAGAACCCACCTCTGCACCACATGTCCCTTTTATCTAATTCTTGGTGTATTTTAATGTTTTGATTCTTAATGTTGAATGTTTTTCATGTTCTTATTGTTTTATGTTATGCTTTTATATTGTTGCAAGCCACCCAAAATTGCTTGACTGTAAGATAGGTGCTGTATAAATTTAATAAATAAATAAAATCTTCGTTTTGAATTACTGCTTTACTTATACCTAAAAGCTAATTGTTACAAATCAGAATAAAGAGGACTATCATATTGTAATACTAGCACGAGGGGCTTTGTTAATATTGTGATGTGTCATTTATTCCATGGTTTTCTCCTTCTAGTGCTGCCTGAAGGAAGGGAATCCAGAGAAGTCAAGTCAGGGACTAACAGGAGAATGGAGAGCTGGCAAGGCATCCCCTACTCTGGCAGCAGTAATACAACAGATCTGACCATTGGCTTTATTTCTTCAGCAGTTGCTGTTGTCTTATTTGGATCAAACTTTGTCCCGGTGAAGAAGTTTGACACTGGGGATGGTAAAATGTTCATCTTAAAACAAAATTGCTGTTATCATGATGTGTGCAAGTAGTTGACATTTCACTTAAAGAGTCCCTTTAAACAATTATAGCTGATATTTAGCTTC